AAAATAAAATACTCATTTTTGCATAAAAAGATTCCTAATCATTTTGCAGAACAAGTTTTGTTTACTCCTTACACCAAATTTAGTAAAGATATTTTAAAAGTTTTGAACTTTTAAAAGCATTACATCTTAATATTTACTATCTATACATTGTATAATAAGTTTGAAATAAAACCCTGCTCATGACAGTGCATTCGCTGTGGAAGAAACTATTTAGCTTTCAAATTAGGCAGGCATAGATAATAAACAAAAAAGCTGCTGTGTAAGAGAAATACAGCCTATATTGTTTTTTAAGGCCAGAAATGATACAAAGTTCAGTTGTGCCAAAGTGCAACACATTCTAGTGCCAGCTTTAACTCACCCGTCTCCAGTATTAGGGATTGAACTCAGGAGTACTCTACCACTGAGTTACACACATTTCCAATCCTTTTTATTTTTGTATTTTTAGACAGGGTCTCCCTAAGTTGCCTATGCTACCCTTGTGATTGAACTTGTGATTCTCATGTGTCAGCCTTCAGAGTAGGTAAGGTCACAGGCATGCACCACCATGCCTGGTAAGGTACTTTTTAAAAAAAAGATGGATACAGTAAATAATAGGTAACAGGCTTAAAATTTACTCCATATTTTGTGTACGTTTCCCTTATTACTACATTCAATAAAAAGTTACTCATCAAAAGCTATATTCTGTGTAGATAATACTATTGGTTGTTTCAACCTAAGAAAACTTTTTTTTTTTTGTTATCAGTACTGGGGGTTGAACCCAAGTACCTCATGTATGCTAAGCAAGTGCTCTATAACTGAGCTATATCCTCAGCCCTCAACCTAAGAAAACAGTCTCAAATTTTTATTGCATCAACTTAAGAATGTGGTTGAAAAATATATGTGCTGTGGCTGGGGATGTGGCTCAAGCTGTAACGCACCCGCCTGGCATGCGTACGGCCCTGGTTCCATCCTCAGCACCACATACAAACAAAGATGTTGTGTCCGCCAAATACTAAAAAATAAATATTAAAATTTCTCTCTCTCTCTCTCTCTCTCTCTCTCTCTCTCTCTCTCTCTCTCTCTCTCACACACACACACACACACACACACACACATTCTCTTTAAAAATATATATATATATATGTGCTCATCTAAGGTGAGACAGTTTTCTTCCTTTGTGAGCTGCCTTTTTACTACCTTCACATCCCAATCTAGTGCCAGTATTTTTCTTTTTTTGGTGGGGGGTGCGTAAGGGAGGTACCAGGGATTGAACTCAGGAGCATAAACCACTAAGCCACATCCCCAGCCCTATTTTGTATTTTATTTAGAGATGGGTCTGAGCTCTTTAGTGCCTCAATTTTGCTGAGGCTGGCTTTGAACTCTACATCCTCCTGCCTCAGCCTCCCGAACCTCTGGGATTACAGGTGTGCACCACTAGTGCCAGTTTTTGTCTGGAGATTATAATTACCAGGCTTTATACCAGTTTTTGATCCCTGACCTGACATCTCCAGTTTAAATGACTAAAGAAATTAGGCCATTTCCAGAATTGAGCTAAGACCAGAGTCTGAATTAGTAGCCATGTCTAGAACAGGACACATCAGCCAGTGGCCTTGTGTTTAGTGATTAGAGCAAGTATTTTCCTGTTTTCATGGTATCATAATTTTTTTTTAATGGATACCTTTATTTATTTATTTTTATGTGTTGCTGAGGATCGAACTCAGGGCTTCACGCATGCTAGGCATTCTACCACTGAGCTACAACCCCCGCGCCACTGTCCTAAAATTTTAGTTTTTTTTTAAAGAGAATTTTTTTTTTTTTTTTTAATATTAGTTTTTGGCGGACACATCTTTGTATGTGGTGCTGAGGATCGAACCGGGGCCGCAGGCATGCCAGGCAAGCGCGCTACCGCTTGAGCCACATCCCCAGCCCTCCTAAAATTTTTTGTGAGAAACACATTAGGATTTCCCCTTTGCCTCATATTTTAGTTGGGTTATTAAAAAATTGATTATAAAAGAGTAGATTTTGTTTTGATGTGATAATATAAGTAAAATAATTTTTCTTTTCAAAACAAATTGTCAGATTTTTAAAAATTAAACTGTTCTAAATTCTCAAATGTATTCTATAAAACCAAAAGATGTTTTAATACTTAACTTGCAAGAAATTGTTTTTAAAAACTGAATTTTGAAAATAATTAAAAACTAACCTCATGTAGTTTGTGCAACATATATTAGCAAAATATAGTTAAAATGCTAAAAATTCTATTTAGATATTTGTATTGTAATTATTTAGATTATCAATATGGGTAAGTTCTTTTCCCCTGCAAGCTCTTGTTTCAGCAACTACACCCTATAGTGAGACTTATAAAACAAACAGGTTTAGGATTCTACTCCCATACTTGGATTCATATTTCTAGTTAATTGCATTCTTGAGAATTACTTTGTGTGACAAACACAACTTGGTGAATATTTATTTTGAAATTTTAAAGGGAAGCAGAAGCAGCAAAAATCACACAGAAGTCTATACACACACACACACACACACACACACACACACACACAGATTGTATTAAAACTGTTTTACATCTCTACTTCAAAAAATATACATCTGCTAGAGGAATTGTAAAACATCTCCAAAATTAAAACTATTTAAAGGCAAACAAAAACAAAACTACAGTTTACCCATTGGAATTAAAATTCCAAATTTTAATTGTATTCTTTATTGACTACCTTTTTTAATGTTTAACAGAAAGAAATTATTTTAGGTCCAAAATTTTTTTACTCAACATTTAAATTCCGAATAATATAGAATTAATCCAAATCATATAGCAAAGAATTCTGAAAAGTTAATGCACAATGTGTCACATAATCTTTAATAATATGCACAGTACCATCTTGTATATTGGTTTCTTTTATGCTATCAAAATCAGGTATATTGTGAACTATAGTTTTGTTCAAATTGGGATGTCCATCCAATTCTTTTTCTTTGGTTATTACCGGTTCTTTTAAATTATCTTTGTCCTCATTTGAGTAAGTAGAACCTTTCTCTTTAATAAAAGTAGGTTCCATTTTTGCTTCAGGTTGCTTTGATTTTCCAGATAGCATTTGAGAAACATCAAGAGACTCTTGTTGAAATCCTGCTACTGAACCACAAGTATTTATTTCTAGTGCTTTAACTGCTATAGATGAATCAGAGTCAGTTGTAGAGGTGGTAAAATGTTCTACATTTTCTTTTTCAGTTAGTTGACATTCTTCATTGATTTTTTCCTTTCCTTGAAGCTGATCAGGATTACCACATTCTTGTAACTGTGTCAAGAGAAACAAAAAATTAATAATTATTTGAAATAACAGCAATTAAATTGCAGTAACCTGAAATTTGTTGCTGTTACTAAGGATTGAACCAATGTCACTTTGCCACCCTCAGCCCTTTTTATTTTGTATTTTGAGACAGAGTCTCACTAAATAGCTGAGGCTGGCCTTGAAC